CTTGTTGATGATGACTGATTAAAATAATACAGTGTATGTGTATGAATGCATGTATGTATACACAGTATTGTTTTCTCTAAACAACTACAAAGTTAGATGGCCTTATCATGTTTACGGCTATTAAAGAATTACATCAACACAAGTACATCAAATGATTAAACTAAACTTTGTTAGAAGTTCAAATAACTCTTGTCACCAACTTTCTGGAATTATTGTTTGCTTGCTTGCTTGGTTCTCTCTTTGAATACACTGCTTATAAAAAACAGCAACCAACCAAACAGTAAATCTAATGGATGTTGTTATGGCAAAAGATGAGGATACCGCTCATCAGGGCAAAAGGAGAGTGGATTTTCCCCCTTGTGTGTGTGTGTGTGTGTGTGTGAGAGAGAGAGAGAGAGAGAGAGAGAGAGAGAGGGAGGGAGGAAGGGAGGGAGCACTCCCCAGGCCTCCTCCCAACCCAGAGAGAGCAACAGGAGCGAGTTGACCCTTCTTTTGACCCTTCTTGTTCTGCCTGACACCCGCGGTGAAACCAAGTTCATCCCAATGTAACGTCTGGCACTCGAGGGGTCTAGACAGATGTAAACACCGCCAGGACGTTAGGACGAGCTTCTTCAGGGAGCTCAGGAGAGGAGGACGCCATTGTTTATTACCTGTCTTAGCAGAAGTGCTCCGCAGTTCACCTCAAAGAACCCCGCCGTAAAGCTGGGAAGCAAATATTTGCTCAACCTTCTGCCTAGGAGCCCTCTGAGTTTCAAAGAGCTGGTGGGAGATTTAGATCCGCTGGAAACACGCCTTCCATTTCAGCGGAGGTGCGTAAGGCGGTGGCCAAGAAAAGGACAAACAGGGCAGCCGCTTCGGTGGTGTCAGAGGGGATGGTCCCCTAGAAAACCCACCACCCCCGCGGTGGGAGGGGAAGCACCAATCCTTGAAGGGACGGGGGAATAGAAAATTCAGCCACCTAGGTGCAATTCCTTTCAACAAGACGGAGAAGAAAACAAGAAGAAAAGTATCATTTCTACATTTGGTCCACTAAGATTTCCTCTTGCGAATGTGCTCCCGAATGGCCAAGTAATAAATAGTGTCTTTGTGTGTGAGTCACCTTTTACAACGCAGTAAGAACTGTTTCTGAAATAAACAGTTCTTATTAGTTTAGGGGATCAGGGACTCCCCCAAACTTGGCAAGTTCAAGACTCGTGGACTTCAATTCCCAGAATTCCTTAGGAGTTGAGGAATTCTGGGAGTTGAAGTCCACAAATTTTAAAGTTGCCAAGTTTGGTGGAAAAGGAGAAACGTCAGAGCACCTAATCCCCCCCCCTTCTTCTGTTGCGAAGTTTTTCTAAAAAGAAAGCCGGCGGTAACAACGGGGTCTTCTGGATGCTGATCTGGGAGCAAAAGGCGCTTTCTAAACGCGCGTCTCTAGCTGCAAATGTTCAGAAGATGCGGTCAGGGAAAGGCCGTAAACTGGGATTAGAAAAGAAACAAGACATAAACTCCTGCCCGGTTCAAAGCCTTCCGGAAAACAGAAGGGGGCGCCAAAGGCCACCCCAAAAAAAGAAAAAAGCGCCCGCTGATATATCCTTTCCTATTTTGAGGAGAGGTTGCCCAAGCTGCAGTCTGCGCCGAAACTCGCCCAGGTGCTCCCGGGCCCCGGAACGGCTTCCTATATGTTATTCCCTTCTATCGGCCTTTTACTTCGATCGTTTGTATCGGGATGGGGTGGGATGCGGGTTAATAGTTGCTTCTTGCAGGAATTCCCCCCACCCTACTCTGCGTGGGCTTTGCGGGTGTCACGAGGCCTCGTGGGGGATTCAGGAGTTTTTTTTAAAAAACCCGCTCCGTTTCGCCGAGTTGCCACGGATTCAACCAGCATCGACTTCCACAGAGAAAACGAGACAGCCGGGAAGTGCAGGGTTCAAATTTTCGAGCTGTCCCGCCAGGAAATGCAAAAGCAAAATGGAAAAAGCAGCTGAGGTTGCTTTTTTTTTTTTTGCTCCCTTAATCAAGGCTCGGAAAGAGGACTTTGTCCACTAGCTGGTTCATTCTCCGTGGCTGTGTGTGTATATGTATTTTCCTGGATATATTCTGTGTTGGTGTGTATTAATCGTTTCCTAGAGGAAGGGTAGGGAAGCAAAAGGATAGGAGCGCAATTTTAACCCAAGCAACGATCCACAATACAGTACTAGGGAAGCCCGTTTGTGCAAGGGCGTTTCAGACAACCGGAGAGGCTTCTGTTTCCAGCTTGTTGCCCTTTCCCAGCCCTTCCGGTTTCAACTGAGTCCAGCCTTCGGCTGCTATTGCTACGAAGTTCAACTCAGGACGCCCCTTAATGAAAGGAGGAATCGGGTTTTAGGCCTATTCGCCCTTTGGAAACCTTAAAGGTGAAACCCCAAAACCCCCTTTCCTTGGGGGGGGGGAGAAAAATAATAATCCGCAGGCTCGCTTGGATTCTTCCGAGCTACTTAACAGTATGCAGCAATGCGTCTGTTCTTATTAGTCTGCGGAAGTATTAAGATTGCGAGGCATTAACTAACTCAGCTGTTTTAATTTGTATTTTTGGCATGCAGAGGAACGAATTCTTCCAAAGAATTCAGGGGCTTTGGGGGTTTCTTTCCAGTTCAATGAAGTTCGGCTCAGAACTCAGATGCCACCTTTCCTCCCAAACCAGATGGTCTATGCCCAGATTCACCGGGTAGCATCCCACCTAAGTCACACAGGCCGATTTTTTTTTTTGACCCACTCCCTGGAAAGGAAAAGAAAGGAAAGGAAAGAAGGCCGAAGTGCGCATTGGCGTCCGAAGCAGCGGCACTCGCACCCTGCTAGTTTTAAGCCACACGCCGATCAACTCTCTCCAGGCGAAATCTTTCCGGTGGATGGACAAAAAAAAAAAAGGCTCGCTTTAAGCCCGGGATCTGCCAACTGTATATACTCGTTCTGAAATCAGCAGCGGGACTTAATCTCTTTGGAAGTCAAACGCAGGGGAAAGGGGTTGGGGGTGTAGAAGAGTCGCGCGCGATCAATCCGGGGCGCTCAGCAGCCAGGAGAAAGTACAAAACAGGCCACCCTGGGTTGGCCCGGCTGGCCATGTCCGTGTGGCCCCCTAAGAAGCGCTCCAGGGTTATTAATGACAATATTAGTGGCGCTTAAACTCTCTCTCTCTCTCTCTCTCTCTCTCTCTCTCCCCCCTCCCCCCATTCTCCGTCCCCTTTCGGCGCTGCTTCTTCGGCGGAATTTGAAAGAGGAGAGAGAGCACGTGAGAACCGGGAAAGGGAAACAGACGAGCAATCTGAGGTTCAGGTAACTTGCCGTTTGGCTGAGGGAGGAGTGGGGGGGGGGCTGAAAGAGAGGAGGAGATCCCTGGGCGTGTCGCCTTCTTTGCCTGCCCCGTTGAGACTTGGGAATCGAGGCCTTCACCAAAGACAAGAAATTGATATTTTAAGCAAGTATAAACACCGTTTCGATTGAAAAGGGCGGAGAGAGATTGAAGCGAGATCTAGGCAGGGGGGAGAAAGGAGTGAATGAATGAAAGCTCCCTTCCTTGCTTCACCTACATTCAAACAAGCCCACACACTTCTCCGCCGATTTAAATCGTGTTTTGAAGGCGCGTTGCCCCCTCCCCTTCCTTCAGTGAAAGGATGTTGTGCCCAAGGCGAAGGAAACACTTTAAGCAGACTTCCGTCGTTAAAGGGTAGACCCATCCTCTGTCAGAAAAAAAAAAACTTTGGAAGGGGGGGCGGAAAGGGGGGTCTGTGGGGCGCGCTAAGGAAATGTAGGGAACCCGCTGAGATGACGCAGAACGGAGCCGTTCCCCGGCTGGGGGTTGCGCCTGATGCGCCCGGTCTGATAGGTAAGCATTTGCCGAGAACGTGTGGAAGGCTGAAGATGGGGCGGTTTCGTGGCCGGCGGCCAGGGCGAGTGGGTTTCTTCCAGGAAAACCCGTTTTTGGTTTTTAAGGACACCAGCGAAGCGGGTCAAAAGCTAGCAGGGAGATGGGTGGGGTGTGTGTGTCAAACGGTCTCCGCCTCCCTCTTCCCTCGGGCAGGTTTTCTTCTCCCTTGGCTGTCCCCCAAACCCCTTTCTCAGGAATCACACAATCTGTTTCCGCCGTTTATCCGGCGTTGCTGTTGGACGGAGAGAGGGGAAAAAAAACGAACGAAAAAGAAGCGGCGCCTTTAGGAGCTAAAAAAAGAAAAGAAAAAGAAAGCGAGGCACACACTCACGCGGGCGCGTTCACACGCACACAAGCTCTCGGTCTCTCTCTCTCTCTCTCTCTCTCTCGTGCACAAAAGCAAATGGGGTGGGGGCGAAAAGGGGGGGCTGGAATCAGGGCATAATGATTCACCTAAATGAAGGGGGAAATGTTGCTCAGTTCGTTTATTAATCAGGCTGCCAATTTCACCCCAGAGGCCAAATCTCAGCATCCCGTGCAGGATCTGATCGAGCGCCGGACGAGGACTCCTCTCTGCCGCCGCCGCCCCCCCTCCTCCTCCGCCTCCTCCTCCTCCTCTTCCTCCTCCTCCTCCTCCTCTCCAGTCCTGGTCTTTCCGCCTCCCTTGGTGGATCTATTTGTCTGCTCTGAAGCCGCCTTCATTATCCGCTGACAGGATCTTGTATTTATTTGCTTATAAACCTGTTACAATAAATGATTATTCGACCAGCGTCATTCGTACCTTAATGACGAGCCCTCCTTTCCTGTGATGAATGACATTTCGGGGCTAGAAAGGATGTATAGGTCATTTTGACCAGTCATTCCCTTAGCGTTTACATCTCGCTCCCCTTTCTCTTCTTCTTCTTCTTCTTCTTCGTTTTGTGCCTCCTTAAAAAAAATAGAGATATTTTCCTGACCTGAAAGCGAATAGGCCCTTGTTGCCGTGAGCTGATTATTAGAAGGACCAACCATATATTTATATACATCACACCTACAACCACGGACATTCAGGCACGCACGCCTGCATACGTTCTCTCATCCAATATTTTTTTTTCCCAGTGTGGGGGGAGCTGAGATGATGGAAAGAATAAGAAAAGAGATGATTTTGATGGAAAGGGGGCTGCACAGCCCCACGGCTGGCAAAAGGCTGGCGAACCTGACCGAGGCGGCTGGGAACGCGGTCCTGGAGGCCCTGGAAAACTCGCCCCACGGCGGCCGGCTCAGCCCGAGACTAACTTCCGCTTCTGTGCACAGCTCCATCGGGGATCACCCCGCCGCCAAAGGCAAATTCGAGATCGACGCTTTATTCAGCCTTCAGCACCAGAACAGCGAAAGCGCCGGAGCTGCAGACCTGCCTCCCACCGAAAGCCGGAAGAAAATGAGCCATTACTCAGAAGTGGCGGCAGAGGTAGACATGAACAGCGACGTGGAGGTAGGCTGCTCCGCGCTCCGCTCGCCCACCAGCCTGGCCTCCTCCCTGAAGGAAAGCAATAACAAAGGTAACTCTCCTCTCTCGCGCTCCCCATCCCACCCCCGAAGCCGGATTTTAGCGGGGCAAGGATTGAGGGGGTGGGGTGGGGTGAGGGGGTGGAGGGTGGAATCCAAGCCCAGCAGGATCGAACCCTTATCCTATGTTCTTCTTTTACTTATTTCCTTTCCCCAGTTGGAGAAGAAATCCCGTAAAATACGAGGGTATTAATTTGGAGACCAACTGAAGGTGCTAGGAACACACACGAGTGCCTCCCAAGCACTCTTAAGGAATCTGAAGGAAAAGGTTATGGAGTTCTGTGGTTGCACCCACTGTCCGCACTAAGCGACTCTCGAGTGGCATTTATACTCTGGATTCTCTGTGTCAGTGCTGTGCACGACAGGAGTGAAAATGCATGTGTACCTATTACACAGCAGATCCCCACATCCGAGGAGATCGGCTACGGGATTTACACGGCTGACCCAGAAATCCGAGAGTCACTTATTTGTAGGCTATGTTTAACCCTCTTCCCCGATTTCGCAGTTGTAAACAAATGCTTTTTGCTGGATTTTGATGAAGTGTGTTTAGAAAGGAGTGTGTATACCGATCAACTCCAAGATCGCAATTAGATCCTGTAGGTATAATGGATGTAGCTCCGTTTATTTAGAGCGTAGCTAGCGGGATCCTTTAAGTAAATTATCTCCACATATGCCTGATTTTCTATTCTGGGCTTTAATTGAATTTAATTTTAATTGCTCTTTTCTATACCTACTTTTTGCCTTCTCCCTCCCTCCTGTGCGACCTACTTAGCACTTTTAACTTTGACTAGGAATAATGCATCATAATGCCACAAACTCATCCAAAAACTTATTTTTAAAGCAGGGAAGAACACATTCAATCGGACTCAAGTTGCGCAATTAGAATCATCAGAGGCTGTGGGACTGTGGGAACTTTTAGGAAACACATTTTTAATAGGGCGTTCGTTTGCCATCCGAACTGGGCAAGCCTTTCCATTTATCTTTCTTTTGTATATCTCTGGAAAAAAAAGTGAACGAAAAAGTAAGGGGGAAAAAAATCCCCAGCGATGGGCCGCAGAAAAGATTAGCTGTAGGCACCTTACAAAAGACACCTCTAACTTTCCCCATCGAATATATTATTTTAGGCAGCGTGGAATCTTTTTATCAATAGATTGTTTTTATTTTTAAAGGATGTTTAACTTTCTTGATGACTTCTCATTTAACTTCAAACAACAGATAAAAGGAGAAACTTTCTATTGATTCTATTCACGCCGTCAATTTGTTTTCCCCGACATTAATTATTGGGGGGAGTGTGGATTGCAAGGGCTGAAATCGTCCAGGCAGCGCGACTCCGGGACAATAAAGCAACGTCTTTCTTTTGTCACTTTTTTTTTCCTGGAAGGCTATTCGGAGAACAGTTCGACTCCCAGCACCACCAACTCTTCCTCAGGATCCACACTGGGCAACTTGCACAGCGGAAGCAGCCTGAGCACTTCCAGCTCCGGGGCCGATCAAGTGAGGAGATACCGCACCGCTTTCACCCGGGAGCAAATCGCCCGGTTGGAAAAGGAATTCTACCGCGAGAACTATGTTTCCCGGCCTAGACGGTGTGAGCTGGCCGCGGCGCTCAATCTCCCCGAGACCACCATAAAGGTATTTGCCGAGAAAGAGGGACTCAGGAGAGGCAGGCCGGGCCGGGCGGGGAGGGTGGCTGGCTGGCGGCTCGGGACTCGATTTGAGGGTTTGGGTTGTCACTTCCGCGCGCGCGCGCGCGCGTGTGTGTGTAGGTCCCTAGGCTGTAATCGTGTTTCAGCGGGGCTGCCCTGAGACTGAAAAATGTCCTCCCCAGCGCTGGCTTCCTCAGAAAGGAGGAAAGAATTCTGATCAATGTAAAAAGGAAGCAGATAAATAAAAGGAAAGCTGATTGCTTTGCTATTTTAAGAACTTCCTCTTTCCATGGGATATATTTTCGTATTTTATTTTCTTCGCTTTACGTTATTCCTTTTCATATTTGTAGCTACATATACACACACAGAAAGAAAGAAAATAAAGAGATAAAAGCAAAGACGGAGTGAATGAAATATCAATAATAAAAATAAAAGAAGCGGGGAAAGGGATCGGATAATTAACCAAGTCACTCTAGAACTGAATATACACATTTTATTTTTTCCCATTGGTGTATTTTTGTTATTTTTCTCTATAGGAATTTTCTCTTCCCTTTAAGAGAAAGAGGATGCTAAGCCATGAGGCCTCCTGTAACTTTTTCAAAAAATGTAGATTGGCACTACAAATAAAAACAGATTAAAAAAGAGAGCAGCATTAATAGTCTTGTATTAAACGTATCTTTGTGCTTTTTAACTTGAAAACCCGGAATTGTGCCTTCAGCCTAACTCTTCAAGAAGGCATTATGTGAATCATTTCCTAAATAATAATTGCAAAGGGGACTGAGATAAAATGACAGTGAAAAATATATTAGAAAGCATTCCCCACCTCGAATCCCCTTTATTATGGTGGTTATTTTATAAATTCAGCGGAAACTAGTCTTATTGCAGTTTTCACCTTCTGAAAATTTGGCACTGGGTGATAATTTCAGTTTTGTATATGCTTATTTATCATGGACAGAAACTAAGCTGAATTAATAGTAATTAATTGGATTAGAAGTTGAACGGCCAGTTCAGAATAAAACAAAACTAGAATTTCTGATAAACTTTTAAGGTGGATTTTTGAGAACACTGGCAGTGATTGTTCAGATAAAATACAAAATGCTTTTTCGCAAAGAGACACTGATGTACTTCTAGCCTGAATTAAAATCAAAGAAGCCAGAATGTTAGAGAAGGATTTCGAGTTGATTTGTCCAGGATTACAACGCAGGCAGCTTCTGTTCGATCTTGGGTAAGCGTTAGCTGAAGGAAAAACGGCCTCCGCGAAGCGATTTTAAGCAGAACCGGAATTCCGCCTGCGAATCGGTGGCAGGGTTCCTCTTGGCCAACTAGGAAACGGCCGTAGTGGTTAATTAAGATAGGGACCTAGAAACCAGGAGGCTGTGAGTTCTAGTCCCGGCTTAGACACAAAAGCCCAGGTCTGGGTGACCTTGGGCCAGTCCCTCTTCTCTCAGCCCAGCCCACCTCACAGGGTTGTTGTCGTGGGGAAAAGAGAAGGAGGAGGAGGAGAAAAGGCTGTTTCGTGTGTTCGGGCTTTGGGTTGTTTATAAACTGAGAACGGGGAAATCTAATCCCTGTTCAAAAGAGAAAAGCGAGGAGGGGAGGAAGCCGAGGCGGCCGTTGCTCGGGCTCTCTCCCGCCTTTCTGACTCACTCCCCGCCTCCCCCTTCCTCCTCCCCAGGTGTGGTTCCAGAACCGGCGCATGAAGGACAAGCGGCAGAGGCTGGCCATGTCCTGGCCCCACCCGGCGGACCCCAGCTTCTACACCTACATGATGACCCACGCGGCAGCCACGGGGAGCCTGCCTTACCCTTTCCATTCCCACGTGCCCCTCCACTACTACCCGCACGTCGGGGTGACGGCGGCGGCAGCGGCGGCGGCGGCGGCCTCCGGAGCGGCCGCTTCGCCCTTCGCCACCTCCATCCGCCCGCTGGACACTTTCCGAGCCCTCTCGCACCCGTATTCCCGGCCGGAGCTGCTGTGCAGCTTCAGGCACCCGGGCCTCTACCAGTCGCCCGCCGCCGCCGCCGCCGCGGGGCTCAACAGCAGCGCGGCGGCATCCGCAGCGGCGGCGGCGGCAGCGGCGGCAGCGGCGGCGGCCGCCTCCTCGGCTCCTCCCACCGGCTCCGCCCCTTGCTCCTGCCTCAGTTGCCACAGCAGCCAATCAGCGGCGGCGGCGGCGGCGGCGGCCGCTCTGGGCTCGCGCTCCTCCAGCTCGGATTTCCCCTGCAGCGCGGCGGGAGCAGCGGCGGCCGCTTCGCAGCGCTCGGAGAGCAGCTTCCTGCCTTACTCGGCGGCCGTGCTCAGCAAGACCGCCGTCCCTTCCCCGGACCAGCGGGAGGAAGCTCCCTTGACCAGATAACCAGCCACCACCCCCCACCCCCGGCGGCCTCCCAAGGGCGCAGATGGAGCCGGGGTAGCCCGGGGCTGGAGCGAACCGTTTGGGGGACAAGGTGGGAAGGGAAGCGAAGCCCATATGGCCGGAGCTCTAAACACAGAAAAGCGGTTTATTTTCTAGTGCTGTGCTTAACGAGGCTGGCTTAGGACGGCTCCGGTTTAATACGGAATCCCCCCCCCCCCCCCCAAAAGGAGAGGAACTGCTGTGGCTGCTGCTGTTGCAAAAGTTTTAATAGATGGGTTTGGGCCCCGGTAGACCAAAAACTATAAGCCTTCCTCCTCCTCCTCCTCCTCCCTCTCCCTCCTCTCTCTCAGTTGGAAGGACCGTCTGTGTGTAGAAAAGGGGGAGAGAGTAAAAAAAAATTTTTTTAAAAAAAGGGAGGGGGGAAGCGAAGCCTTCCAGACATTTACGGTACTTTCTTTTGAGTCTTTGGGGAGCCTTGGCTCTGCTCCCCCTGCTGATGGCAATGGGAACTGTTTGGCCTTTTTCTCGGCGTTGAGCTGCCTTTTGTTTTTTGGTTTTGTTTACCTGATTTGTTTCCTCCTCCAAAACCTGGTTTTTGGAGAGCTTCATATTTATAGCCTGGTTCCTTCGTCTCTCCCGCCCCCCCCCCCCTTTTCTTTCTTTCTTTTGTCCTGAAGCAAACTACCAGCAGTATCAATTTATAGGAATTTGGTGGAGGATGTGAAGCTAACAAATGCCTGCGGTTCAAGGAGTTTTAGGGGAAAGGAAAACTCGGTGTTTAGTGCCCTTTCTGATTTTTTCCCCCCTTTGAAGACGCTTGAGCGGGCCTCCAAAAAAAAAAACGCTTCCCTGAATTAAATCATACGGGGGTGGAGGGGGGCCTTGAATGGGTTGGTTAAAAGAAAGGCAGGGTAGTTTAGAAAAACAGGAAGTGCAGCATGTTGCCTCCCAGTCTCCTATTCTGCATTATCTGGAAAATACTTGAAACTTTCTTGGCATGTATCCTATCCTAAAACGGATCTTCTACATAACTTTTTTTTTTAAATGTTAAAATCTTTCCCTGTTCCCCCCTTCCCGGAGGAAAATAATATGCTTGTTTTATTTAAATCCCCCCACTCCTCTCCCTCCCCAGCACTCTGGCTAACTCCTAGCAACTTTCCGTGAACTTGAGAGACGCTTCAAAAACCACCGGTGTTACTGCGGTGTCAATTTTGATGCTAATAATGTGCAGATTATGACGAAAATTGCCAATCATGTTCTCTGATGGACCCTCCTTTGAATGCAGAGTGGTGGGGGGAGTTTCCCCGCACGGAGACCTGCTGTCAAGTACTAACAACCCGCTAAGGGAAGTCATTAGAAGAGACGGATAAGAGACTTGGTACATAAAACATTGTTCCTGGTGCAAAGGCGGTAGGTTATTTAACGTTAGATCTGTTACCTTGGAAGTGATTTTATTTTTTTTGTTTTTGCACAAGAAAGCTACAGTTCTGATCATCTCAATTGCCAATTTTCATTTTGGGAACTTGGACGCCCCCCCCCGCCCCCAGGGTAGACTTTCTCCGTTACTATTCCACCAATGTGAAAGAGCCTCATTAAATCAAACTTGGATATTTCCATAATGCTCCTGGCAGAGTCACTTTACTCTTCACATAATGAGAATTTTTTTTCTGAAGAGTTGAAGCTCTCACATAACTAGCTATTGCTTATTTAGGCCCCATGTGTAAGGCGTGAGCACAGCCCATTCATTTCCCCCCTTATTTATATATATTTCAAATAAGTATCCTGAAATTTGCCGATTTCTAAGACACTGGATTTGTTGGGGTTTTTTTTTCTTCTTTCTTTTTCTAGCCCCATATTTTGATAATGGACATTCAGGAAATTATTTTCCAGTCTGTACTGTTTTGTTCAGTGAACAAAAACTGCATTTTATTTTTATTATTTTTATTAGTGGTGGTGGGGAGTCAAAATATAGCAAGAGATTGCTGGTATGAAGATAGGAGAGGAAAGATTAAAAACAACAGAGGTGGCAAGAAAAGAAGTGTTGATTATGTTAACGAGATATACAGAGAACATTGAATTAAGGAACTAATCCTCAAACAGTAAATATTTTTTGTAATGAAACAAGGTCGAACTACTTATGCATCAAAAGAAAAATACCAGCTATTGTCCACTGACTTTATATTTAACTTTTAAATTAATATATAATTTAATGCTAACTAATTTTAAAAAATGTGGCATTATTTTATCAACATTTACTTTTTTCCCAATTCTCTAAATAGTTTGGTAATGATGCCCCTTATTGGATATAGAGAGAACAATTTTGGCAATAATGTTTACATTTTCCAAAATAGAAATAGATGAATTAAATCTATATATCTTGGAAGTGGTTGATAGGTTTGCTGGTAAATAAGATTAAAAAAGAAACAAAATAATTTTATGTTAGGTCCAATGGATCTAGTTATAACGAAAAAATTGTGAATAAGTCCTGTGCTTCAGATATTCACTGGCTGTATGAATTCACTGTAAAATATTTTACAAATGTGCAATAACAACAAAGCTTTGTATATTATGTTATTTATTGTGTTTGGTCATGTAAAATAAATGTTATTTAAATCAAAAGCCACCTGATTTATTTAAGATTTTGGGGAGGGAGGGGAAATTCTTCCTGATATTTGGTTTGTTTGCTGTTTAATACAAATATATATTTTGAAATGTTATTCAGCCTTATGACAGCTTCTTAAAATAACTCTTTTGCTGCTTTTTCATACACGTATCAGATGGATTAATTCATACTAATTGGTTTTTTACTGCAAATGCAGCACATTACTCATGTTTATAGCAGACATGCAGAGAGTCCAAACATTGGTTTAAATAATTGCCTGGCCCTACAGATGTGTGTTTACAAACACTATGTGCATTTTCTGTAGGAAAAGCAGTCAACAGATATTAAATTTACCTCACCGCTCATGTATTTTAATGTTTTCCTGATAATTTAAGTAAATATGGGTTACATCTTTTAGGACAAAGAAAGGCAGTTTCTTTCATCTCCAAAGAGTACCGTTTAACA